ATAATGGTGGACTAGCAGCCAGCCACTTCGTAACATCAAAATCCTTGAAAATATTTTAATTAATTTACAATTTTCTATTGCTCTGAGTTATGTTGAAAATGATATATTTTTACGTGATAATCATTAGCTTAACACTGACATGTAATTCTTTCAAGCAAACCATGAACAACTTTGTAATTAGTTCTTCCAAATATTAATTTACAAACATACCGTGAAAACACAAAAGTCATTTTCTTCTTAACACGTTAAACAAATTACATTACAATATTTTACTTGAATTCACTAAAACATCACATAACCCCATTTTCGAGTGGATGTAAACAAAATTGTATCATGACCATCTGTTTTTATGTAAACAAATGTAAACTGGAAAAAGTTCAGATGATTTACAACAGAATTCAATACAAACACTGAAATTTTAAACGCCTATATGACAAAAGACTTTCACGGGATATAATCCAAACCCGCAAAAGGCACATCTAGAGGATAAGAGCTTTAAATTGATACCCAATATGCCAATAAAAATAAATATTTAGGGGTCGATTTGCTGTACACAAAAATCCAACAAATTCTTTAAATAATATAGATTATAAAGACGTCCCAAAAAACATATGTTATATTAGATCAGCTGTTACAACATGTAGTACGAAATACTACTTTTCTAGTTCTTGAGGAGGGGCACTTTTAAGTTGATGTGACATTCTTGATGAATGGATACTCTTTTTATAGAACCTTTTGTTCTTGAATTTGTTCCGATTAAAGAACAACAAATTAACCTAGATAAAAAATTGTCTTCCATTTCTTCACAACTTTTTCTGGTCGTATTTTGCCCGCGATACTTATCATCATTGACCATGATGGGGTTTTTCACAGTCGAAGTCTCATACACTGCAGTACATTCATAGCATTCATTATCAAACAGTTTAGCTACAGAACATTATTGAGTATTTAAACGAGCTTTACGAGCGGCGTTTAACAGTCGAGCAACTGGGCTAAACACTTTAGCATAATTACACGAACCAATCAACTAGAAACACAAAACTACCTTGGAAACAGTAATTAGTGCATCCATGCATATAGTTCACTATCCCGGACTATGGGAAACTTGAAATATCCGAAAATATAACGCTAAAGATGTTATAAAATGGTTAACAAAAACTGCAATAACTTTATAACTGAATCAGAAGTAAACAGTTTTGTAAATTTTGTTTGCCAATTGAGTGAATTTATTCGTTTCATACATACTTGAAAAAGAATAAGGAGGGTGTTTCTGTAATCGAGGCTTTCAATCCCTATACATTGTACAGGGTACCCCATACTATGTAGTAATACTGTATATCTGTCCGGAAAAAATAATATTAATTAAAGAATTACATTTTATTAACCTTTAAAATCTGTTTCGGTTAATGCATGCGCAGATTTGAACGTTTTGACGTAAATCGCTTATACTGTATTGCAATGTTGGCAAAACAGATTTTAATCTCAAAATAAGGCATTTATTTCTTAGGGGTATTCATTAACGTGTTAAGCTAGTAAGTTTAGCCTTGTTGTGTAGTAATAGTTTCAGATTTATTACTATTAAGTTTATTTTGCTCATTTTAACGAGATCTTTTAAAGTATATCGTATATAAAATGTAAAAAAAACATTTGATTCCAGTCTCTCTAATTTCACATGGATGTCTTTTCGTTTTACAGTCAAATCTTGTCCAGTTATTTTATGTTAAACGATATTTAAAACTGGGTAAAGGTGTGGAGAAGGTAGCTTTTTGATAGCTAGAAACTGGATACCTAATTGCTCTTAAATATTAGAGGTTTTAATGAACTAGAGGTCGTCCAGGGGCCAAAAGCTCGACCAAAAATATGTAATTTTATTGAAATTTCTTCAATTTGTTTTGATTTTCTGTTTATATTTCGTTGTTGTTTCGTCACCAGCATGGCAACCCATAAGGCCCATGTTAATTTTTTTTTTACATTTAAATTCATTTTTTGTGCTTATTTTTGAGCTTTTTTGAATTTATAAAGGGATTCTGCACATTTACAGGAAACTATATTTCTAACAATATGCGAAGATTTTCCCCTGCGATGTACACGAGCTGAGGAAAAAGGTTTTATATATTAATATACAGACCTAGCTTAAGAATTAGCAGATTTTAACAGTACCATAACTATCACGACACTCTTTCAATTAATATTGTACAGTAAACATTGGTTTATTGCACCCTCTTCCTATTACAAAATCATGTTTATACCCAACATATTTTAGTACAAGTTCTCCAGAGAGATGGCGAAGAAGCGACGGGTCCAGAACCGGGATCGTAAAAGGGACCAAAATATCCCGGAGGTCGCGTGGCCATTATCACCCCAAGGTCACCTTATCACTCGAGTAGCGCGACGTCATTAGCGAAAATTGGACTTATCATTGCGGCTTAACAGCCTGGTGTGACAAGGAAATAAACCTGTAATAAACAAACAATGGCCTTCCTGTAGAACAGGTGGTACAGCGTTGAATATAACCATACACAAAAAAATTTAATACAGACTGTCAGCCGTGCTGCGGTGCTGCTGTTACCATAGGTTCTGGCACCAGCGTTGGGAGCACCGTGAAGTTAGGTAGCGCGTGCATGGCGCTCCCAGCGGTGTGCACCAGAACCTATGGTAACCGCAGCACGGCTGACGGTCTATATTTAATTTTTTTTGTCTATGGTATAACCATTGACTATACACGGAGTACACTTCCCATCACATGTAAAAATTTGAAGCAAAAAAACGTGGCACAATCTGTTGAGATGGTCTACCAACTAATGACAATATTCTGAGTCGGGTGATAAATCAATCAGATGTTGGCGTGGATTTTAATGGATATTTAACCCAATACTTTAGTACCCTCTGGTGTGATGGTCCTGAACTTCCTCCATGCTATTTATTGGGCTTCAAATTTTTACATTGGATGGGAAGACTAATCCGTGTGTAGTCTATGATATAACGAAAAGTTGTGACTCGATGACGGGTATTTAATGGGGACGTGGCAGATTTATGTGTTCAAATCCATATTAGGGAAACGATTATTTGATCATTTCACTGCGACAACAATGGCAGACGTTTTAAGATGAATGTACGATGCACACATAGAATGGAATGAGATGATCTGTGATTTGTTACAGAAGATCAGCTGTTTCATCAACCAGGAACCAGGACCACTTCCTAAATAAGGATACAGTATCTGTTTATCCTTTGAGATTGCTGGATAAGGATATCTGGGCTGAGCTTAGGACCACTCTAAGTTATAGATTGTCTACAGATTGAACCCAAGACCTTTTTAGTCACACACAAAGCCAATACACACACTAACCCATCAGCCAAGAATGACTTTTAACAACATTACAAATATAGGAAAGTAGTTTTAAAATTCACTTATAATATGGTAAAAAAAGTAATGAAAATATTGTATTTTCATTACAATATCCAAGAGTGACGCTTTTCGATAGTATTTCAGAATTATCTCCCCTTCGAAAATAACATGGGATAAACAAACCTTTTCAAAATATAAATAGACCCTACAATAGTTAGGCAAACTCTATAATGGTGAATACCGAAAAAGCAATATTACTAACCGGTTCACCACAACCTGGCACATAGACTAGTAAGTGATGCTGTTAAAATCAACAGTTTAACTGGAAATTACTTATTAATAAATTAAAAGTACAAAACAGAACGAAATAAAGTTAGTTTGCTAATTATGCCTATCGGTGTGTATTGTTGTTGTTCTAACTAAGGAGATATTAAAACTCCATTTTGAATTGAAACAAGTTGCCAATACTGTATTACATTGTAAACTTGGAAATGGTTACAACATAGTTACACCGGAAACCAATAAACCCAACATTCCATTGCTTATCATCCCGCATCCTCAATAAAATGACGAAACAATCCACAATAAAATCATTTGTGGGAACACACGATAATAGATAAGGAGAGTATACTGAATACTAAAACAAAATTTAGAATTCTAAATAATGTAGTTTAAAGTGATTCAGCTCAATATCTACTATTTATTCTAATAATTCAGAAAATACCTCAGAGAGGAAATCGATTGGTTAGTTTAAGCTGTAAGAAATGCATATAGATATTTATACAGTGTTGTTGGCAAGAAGTGCGTATTTAAGGTTAAAACAAAGAAGGTGAGCCCCTTAATTTTATCTCAATTCCAATAACAAAATAAAATAAAACATATCAACTACTTTATTCGCGATTCCAGGGGCCATGAAATGCGCAGTAAAACCTGTAATTCATATATAGGCCTAGCTTGGTGACTTAGAGTAATAAAATATTTGAATTCTTGTAAAGCATTTTACTTAAATGTAAAAGCAAAGTACGCGATGCAGATAATGTATGCAAATTACGAAACTACAAAATGAATGGCAGCCAATGAATACTACGCAATAAGCAACAAGCCGGCCGGCGTATTTTATTGTTGTGTTTTATACCCAACAATGATGGCAGCATCTGTAACAATCAACAATCACATAGGACCGACAATCCACCCATGATTGCGCAATAACAACAAAAAATTCTTCCGGATTGATATTGGGTACAATAGGCTAGTTAAGTGCCTTCCCTCGCGTAGAAACAAATTTCAAGCAAACCCATTGACAATAAATAATAACAATTTATTTCGACGAAAACCTTAGACACAATCTCGTCAACATATACTGTAACACCTACTATATTCAGAGGCATCTGGGCAGTTGCAATATTATTTATTTACACCACCCCCCACCCCTCCACTGTTTACCACCCCCTTTTCAACTCAATCTGAAAATTACCTGGGAATTCCCTAGTTTCTATTAATCATCATTCTCATTACTCCTGTTATCATTATTACAATTTCGTAACAAAAAACTAAAATAAATTACATTCGTGGTAAAAATTCTAGGTGTGCCTCAAGGAGGTGTTTTGCAACCTCTCATTCTTTTTCACTCGTGACATAGAAAAAAATATACCTGTTTAATGGAAGCGTGACACAAAAGATAATCCAATAGTAATGGTTATCCACAGAGCACGGTGCACGACACACACAAACCCACGAGCACGGCGAAGCAGACCACTGTTCGAACAGCTGACAGACGACAACTGAGTAACTAAGATGGCGGCCGTGAGGGGCGCGCAGGTCGCGCCGTATTGATGTGACTCCCGCCAATATTACAGCCCACTCCCACTCGCTCCTTTTCGCGGTCCTCTATGTCCGTTTCCGAAATAATTGGCTTATGTCAAACGATTCCCGAAACCATGTTTGTGCTTTGCGAAAGTAGATAAATCAATTAGTTTTCGGGTAAGGTAGTCAAGTTTTGTTTGTGTTTGGTTTTTGCCTCCAAATTGAATTTCAGTTTTGGCAAACAAGGGTGGATTAGGTAATGGATTAGAGCAGTTTGAGGGGTGAATTGGTAAGAAGTAATTTATACACAGGATGAACGTCGGTCCATTCATGTTGGTTTGGATATAAAGAAAACGAGGCGATTTTACACACTATGGACCATCCTTTCTTGTTCTCACCACGATCAATCAATCTCTTAAATAATGAATGCCATCATGAAGATTTGGATTAGTTCAGATTTGATGATAATCAGCAATTTGATAGTAGTGTTTTTCCTAGTCTCGTTGGAAAAAAGTGCACAAAAAACTAACAGAAAAGGAGTACCACCTTTCTAGGTATTGTGAATTGTGAAATAAACAGTAAAATAGTAAAACGTTAAAATGTTTCCTTCATTTTTATGAGTGTATTATAATTGTGGGCTTTGGTTTCTGCTCCCAAAATTCGCTTGTGGTCTTTGTAAATTCATTGAATTTCATTGTTTAATTTTTAATACTCACGTCTATAGTCATTTCCTTCTTTTGGATCAGCTGTAAGCCAGTTGTTTTCTTAACTGTAACAAATAAACCTTTTAAAGTTTACTACTGTTTTGCTGCTACAAGTCTTTCATAGTTAAATCAAATCATTTATTATCATGGACATTTACATGCAAAGATATTTACATGCATTGTCAGTGGAGCAGAACATAAAATGTCAATGTTCATTGTCTAAATAATCAGAGTTAACTTAAGTATGAGTCTGTTGTACAAATTCCTTTCAACTACAGTGTTAAAAATCACAATACTCACTGTATTACTGTTACTGTATTCATACTGTCTCTTTGCTGTAATTGTTTAAGTCAACATTTCGAGCATGAGTTTTGGGTAGAAATCTTCTTTTCGGGCCCCCTGAGCCCAAAACTTCAACCTGGAGGCGAGTTAGCGTAGCGAACGAGCTAACCTGAAGGCAAGTGAGCGCAGCGAACGAGCCCCAACCTAAAGGTGAGTGAGCGTAGCGAACGAGCTCCAACCTAAAGGTGAGTGAGCGTAGCGAACGAACTTCAACCAGGACGTGATTGAGCCATGCGAACGAGATCATCTTGAAAATTAAGAAGTTAAGCGGGTTACAGCTAGTCTTAGGCCCCGGGTACGATACGAGCGGCGAGCGGTGAGCGGCGAGCGGCATGAGCGGTGCCGCTCTGACATCGGGTCTCATTTAGTTGCGTGTAAATTTGTTGAGGGTGGCCACGATACGTCTGAGCGGCGAGCGGCAGTGAGCGGCACCGCTCAGCGCCGCTCATAGTTCCAAGTCAAAACCAATTTTCGCGAAAACGCCGCTCGCCGCTCAGGTGAGTCGTGCTTCAGATAGGCCTAAAATGACAGGGAAACAGCAGCAAACATGCGATAAGGGGCGATACGTGAGGTGCAGTCCAGGGATTTTTTGTAAAATGACCTGCACGGAAGTTTCAAAACACTTCAGTCACCAGAGAAGTGTGGGAACAAGTTAGGGTTAAGGTTTTTCTAAAAACTAAGTTTTTCTTTAAAGGCAAACAGTTGTCAGATAGCAACAATAGTTGCAATACGTCTTGCAGGTAAGCATAGTTTACCATTTTAGACTAAACTGACTCATAAAACTGGAGAAATTTGATGAGCGTTATAAATGTGCCGCTTGTATCGTAGCCACCACCACCGCTTACGTGCCGCTCAGGTTGCCGCTTGCCGCTTGCCGCTCACCGCTCGCCGCTCGTATCGTACCCGAGGCCTTATATATAAAACGCTTAGGAATTTAAAAAAGTTCTCGAAAAATAATGGGGGTATATCCTCTTGGTCAATTGCAAAAGTATTTTGTAAAATAGAATTGATTTCAAACAGCATGAAAAGAAGAAATGAGAAATATTCATTTTTTTATTACAATTTACAATACAGTATTGTTTGTACTAAATTCACGTCGTCGTCAAAGTCGAGAAGAAAGTTTCACATTGGTACTTGAGAACTTGTATACCTCTCTGATTGCTGAAGAGAAAAGCGTATAAAATATTCAGTAGTTGAGAGTCAAATACTGCTCCATGAAAACTAAAGTTGTTCTTGGTGTTTCATTCATATCTAACTACCCAAGCCTTGATTTTTTGTTACACGTTTGACAATTTACTTAGTTAGTAAACACAATTATTAGTTGTGTATAAAAAGAATTCTCCCATTAGATAATTTAACTAACATTCACACAAAAAATATTACATATTTTTTTATTATTTTGCTCAGTTTGAGGCTAACTTATTCATTTGAGAGTCTTCGAGCCTGATTATGACCGGCGTAACTGGTCGAAATCGATCGAATTTGTAACATCGAGTATACATGTTTATAGTACGTGGTAAAAACATATCAAGAAGTGTTTGATATTTTCTATTACATCTGTAGCTCTAAAAGTAAGTTAAAACACCAATACGTAAATACTTATGAAGTAATTCTGTGTTATAAAGAATGCTTCAAGTCCTTTAGGGAATGTGTTTGTGGTCATTATTTACAAATTAACAACTTATAATAGATAGATTTATTCGTGAAAATATTCAAAAGCCCTATAAATTCAACATATTGATGGGTAAAATCTCAATCGTTGCATGTCCAATTTTGTAAACTTTCGGAGAAAGAAAAACAAGATTTCAAACATTGAGGAAAACATTAATTAACACTATGTATACCCACAAAATTGCCCAATGTTATACTGTATATGATAGTTATAACCATTCTGAGGTAACCTTAACTATTCTTGCCTAGTAAAATTAAATATTTTACGAGAACGGACATTCTATAAGTGTGCCCTTCTCTTAAGTTCCCAAATATTGTATGTCTACCAAGAATTGGATCCAATATTCCATTTAACCTTACAGAATATTGATTCTATGAAGATAGGACATTTAGTGGATGTGCACAGCTTCTCTTTATCAAAACTAGAAGATTTTTCATTTCACCATGACAACGTGGTATTTTTGGTTGGACATACAATGTTAATAGAGGTGGAAAGAGCTCATTTCCCCTTTAAATTTATACCAATAAGTCGATTTAAAAAAAATGGACATACAACGGTTGTGCTTTTAACCATCGATGTATAGTTTTGTACCACTAATTGTATTTCACTCACACTCCTTGCATTCCTTGGTTGTTCCGTGACCCTAAGTGTACCGAAGTATTTTCAATCTCGCTCCAAAGTGACAGTGGTGATGGCGTGCTGACATGACAGTCCTGCTGGTGTCAGTTATTAGACAAACTCCAGCACTGAGGTGAACAATAATATCACGTAAACGCGGCACCAGCATCACGTAGTCGACAACGCACGTGCTGTAGACCTACGTGTGAACTGTTGCCGAAGGATTCCTCAGTGTTAAATTACAAATAATATTGGACCATAAAAAATTTAATAAATTAAAATATGACGATAAATTATTAGTGTAACTAGTATACGAAGTAGCTCTTTTCGGCACATGACAGAAATGTTGACGGAATGGAAAGTTTCTCGAGTGCAACAAAGGCACTTTGCACACGCATTACACATTATATTTTTCCTACAGTTAGCCTAGTATAAACCATATAAATAATAAGTCTTCCAAACACTATACAACACGTTTTTAGGTTACGTTAAATCCAAGCGTTGAACGAAATTGGAATCGCTGCTGCACCAGCTGATCGTAGTCATAGTCTTTAGTGTTGCCAACTTATTTTCAAGCGTATATTTATTACATGCGTAATAAAAGAACGCTGTTTTGTGTTGTTTGGTTGGAATACTGGAGTGCGGCAAAAAATGAGTGCGGCTAAAGTAAGTAAATGCAGCAATTTATCAGATAACTGTAGGAAACAAATATGTATTTAGCAAACTTCTCTATTTTCACCACGCTGTAAATAAAACATGTGGTTGGAATTTCTTCCATTTGTTTTGGTTTTCTGTTTATATTTCGTTGTTATTTCGTCACCAGCATGGCAACCCATAAGGTCCATGTTATAATTTTAATTTTAAATTAATTTGTTGTGCTTATGTTTTAGCCTATTTTAATTTATGAATGAATTCTGCACATCTACGGGAAAATATCTTTCCAACAGTATGCGTAGATTTTCCCTGCGATGCACACGAGCTGAGAAAAAAGGATTTCAAGAAACATGCTTGCCTATAATATAGGATGAATATTAAACAACTGCATTTAACCTAGTAAGTGTAGCAAAACTTTGTGATTTCAGTGGAAATTATAAGTTAGGTCGCATTATTCAGAGCTCTGAGTACGAATTACTGTACATCTGTTAAAAAAATTCACCCACAACAGCTTTGGTAAACTGTCATGCTGCTGTTTAAGCGGTTTTCCATTCGTTTCGAGCCAGACTATATGTTGTAATAAATCGCAGTTCTGGCGCCAATCACGATAGCTACTCATATCTCATAGCTAAGGATGGATAATGGCTATGTGTTGGTCTCTAAAACAGTGTAACTTTTAATAGTTTTTCAAATAATTTATCATTACTATTTGGTTTGGATATCTATAAATATTGGCAATGCAAAAGACTATTGACCTATTTACTCTAGTTTGGCTGGATGTGCTCCCCTGGTAATAGAAATTTCACCGGTTGATCTTAAAAAGTTTGTAGCTTTTTGATAGTTGGAAACTAGGGCTAGGTGTTCTTGGGCTTTTAATAAAGTAACACAACTACACAAAAATGAATAGTACTTGTGACGTGGACGTCCCTATCTCAATTGTTGACAATAATAATATCATAATGTATGATTATAATTACAATATATATGTTACAT